CCCGCGGTCGCAACTATTGTTGCCGCGTCGCTTTCCCGGCCCCCCACCGGCACTTCACTTCCTTGTCGGGCCCCTCCACCCCAACTAACCTCAGCGGGCCTGTAGAACCCCCCAGGAAAATCGGCGGCCACATTTTCGGACTGATGCCCCACTAACATAAGCAAATTGATAATTCGCCCCCCGCGGCGCCCGCCAGCAACGCCCTCGCGGGGCATCTCGGTTCAGACACTTGGCGCTCGGACGCTCGATTCTGAAGGCTCCGCCCCGAGAAATGCCACTGAAGCTCTGGCCCCGCGCGGGCCCTCAGAGAACCCATCCCCCGTCGCGCGGGCAATGCGCAACTGCGGCGAGTTCTGCGCTGCGCGCGCTGGGAAAACCGCCGCGCTGGCAGCGCGCGCCGACCGGGCGCCAACGGGGAGTTCTGCCAGCAGTGCTAGGCAGACGACCTCGAGCAAACTCGCAAATCAAAACCGATAAATCCCACTTGCAATCCCGATGGGGAGACGCGCGCAAATCTCCCCGCGCGCCGGGCAGCCCGCGATGCATGATTCCGCGAGGAAAATACCACCGCGGAAACAATACCCAGCGCGCCCAACAACGCAGGTGATCCAATCCCACGTCGCCGCGCGCGCCGACCAGGCGACGGCGGGAGTTCTGCCGTTAGTGCCAGGCATGCGACTTCGGGTCAACTCGCGAATCAGAATGAAATAATTCCCTTTGAAATCCGCACGGGAAGACGGCCGCAAACCCCACCCGCGCGCAGGGCAGCCCACAATGGATTAATCCGCAGGCGAAATACCCCCCAAATATTACACCGGCCGCCCACAATAGAGGGGCACTTATCCCGCGGCGCCGCGCGCGCCGACAGGCGCCAGGAGAAGCTCCGCCGGCCGTGCTGGGCAAGCGACCTCGAACCAACTCGCAAATAAAAACAAGCCAACTCCTATTGCAAGCACCATGAGAAGACGCCCACACATGCCCCGCGCGCAGGGCATCCCAACATAGTTTATCCCGCTGGAGAAATCACCCCCAGACATGGCCCATCCCGCCCAACAATGGAAGGAAACTCACCCCAAGTCGCCGCGCGCGCCGACCAGGCGCCAGCAGGCGTTCCACCGACAGCGCTAGGAAGGCGAATTCGAGCAAACTTGCAAATCAGAACGAAACACATTTGCATTGCGAAGATGCTCACATGTCCTTCCGCGCGCAGGGCAGGTAGCCCACGATGGACTGTTGAGCTAGAAAAAATTACCTCCAAATATTACCCGGCCCGCCCAACACTAAAGCGGATCGCGCGCCGACAAGGCGCCAGCAGAAGATCTGCGAGCAGTGCTGGGCAAACGACTTCGAGCAAACTCGCGAGTCAAAGCGAACCAAATCCAATTGCAATTCTCACGAAAAGATGCTCGCCGCTCCCCCGCGCGCCTGGCGGCCCGCAACAGATTGCCCCGCTGGCAAAGAGCCCCGAACATGACCCAGCTCGCCCAACACTAAACCGGAACGAAGCCCACGGCGCCGCACGCGCCGACCAGACGCTAGCAGGAGTTCTACCAGCAGTGCTCGGCAAACAAATCCGAGCAGACTCGCAAATAAAAACGAGACACTTCCGATTGCAATTCTCATGACAAGATACTCACAAATCTACCCGCGTGCAGGGTAGCCCACAATATATATATATATATATATATATCCCGCCGGAGAAATCACCCCCGAACATGGCCCAGCCCGCCCAACAATCAACAACAGAGGGAAAATGATCTCCGCCGCGACGAGGAGATTTTAGGACCAGTTGCATTCGCCGCTGGGAGATATGGGGGCGTCAAAACTAAAGACCCTACGAGGTTAATTGCAATCCAGCGTAATACTATGCCTATATTCCGTGATGCACTCCGTGACTCTGTTCTTCCAGTCGACGCCGTGGTCGCAGTGAGCGCCGCACTCGTGTGATACATGCGTTAAATTGATCCCTACCCTTGCCCCCCTGTTCCTCTTAGTCGCCCGGCACTGCGTCATCCACTCCTGTGCCCCGCAAACTGACTCCAATGATTCGGGGTCGTCCACGGCTCCTCCACCTTTGTCAACTACTTCGCCCGTCTCGACGCTGTTGCACCCCCGCCCTGGTAAAGCTCGCCCTGGCAGCTGCGTAAGCTCTCCTGAACCTCCTGCCCCCGCCCCCACCCCCCTTTGACTTGGGGCACCCTCGTTGGCGTCCTTGTGACAGCGGGCTGCCATGCGACACTTTTCGCTGCATGTGTAACACCCCCTCCCGCTGATCAGCATAATTCCCCCCTTAACTCCTCCTTTCCAGCCTGGGGTTTGGCCTCCTGAAGAAACTCTTTGGAGCGTCCCTTGCCGTCACCTCCTGGGAAGCCCGCTGTGCCTTGATATCCCCCATTATATCCGCCTGCGTGCATCCTTTGGTGACCCGTGACTCCTTTGTTATATCCTTTTCCGCATCTTTTTTTTGTGGCTCCTTTGGTAGCGCAGTCCTTGGTGATGTGCCCATACCGTCAGCGCTTGTAAAAAATGGGTCACTGACCCTCAACTTTCGTTTTTTTGCCAACTTGTTTCGCATTACCGTTACTGGCCGAACCTTCCACTTTGCAGGACCACACATTGCCAACCTCGTCGTAATAACATGCGTCGTCTCCACTGGCGGCCGAATTTCCATTGCCGTCATCGCTAATTTCGTCAGTGTCCAATGCACCAGTGTTCCTCGAATCGGCGTCTACAGTTTCTTTTGTTCCCAACCCTCGCACTGAACGAAAAACTTCTGGTTGGTGTCAGTGTTCCAATGCATGTTGCGGCTGAGAACCGAGATCCGGGGAGCATTCGTGTTGCAGCCCATCTCCAACACTGTAAATTTTCATTGTTTACAATCGTCCTGGCGCCTTGTGGAACACTGCCTTCGAGGAGTGCAGTCATGCCTTCGTGGTTGACCTTGAGCGCCGTGGTCACATACCTGAAGTCACCGTTCTCGCAACCAGCATTGCGCAATTCCACGGATCGACTCGTGCTCTGCTGGTACCATGCCCCTCGGACTTCGGACAAGGTTGCATGGAAACCTGGGTCTGCTGCGCCAGGGTTTGCTTTCCCGCAGCGGCTGCCGCTGCGGCCATTCTCAAGATGGACGTGCTTCGCGCTTCGCGGAGTTGCCCACGCGCACTGGAACCCGCGGGGCAAACCACGGGCTCCGCTACCATGAAAATATGGTAGGAGCCATGATCCCTGGAAACAGAGTGGGCTTGAGCCAAACAGTCGCGGGACCACTGGCATCCACCCCCCGACGGATTAGAAAACCCGGCAGACGTCACTCGAACTACACTGCTGCACCGACTACATTGCATTGGCAACTTGTCCAGGCGTGGTAGTGTCACTGTTACACCGTATCTTCCTCCTCCTCCTCCTCCTCCTCCTCCTCCTGCTCTTCGTTCTTCTCGCCCCCCTAATCCTCGTCGTTCGTCCTGCTCGTCCTCCATATCCTCCCCTCGTCCTTCGCGACCTCCTCCCCGCTCCTCCTCGAATCCCAGTTCCATGCTGCTGCCTTTAAGCAGCAGCATGCGATCATCATCCATTCCTCCAATTCCTCCTCCATGTTTACCTGCAACCTCCTCGTCCTTCTCCTCATCATCACCATCGAGATCATCCTCATCATGGGCATCAACATCATGAGCATCATCATCATCAGCATCATCATCATCATCATCATCATCATCATCATCATCATCATCGTCACCATCGTCACCATCATCATTAGCATCGTCACTACCGTTATGATCACCATCATCATCAGCATCATCATCGCCGTCATCATTATCATCATCATCATCATCATCATCATCATCATCATCATCATCATTACCATGACCATCACCATCATCATCAGCATCACCGTTATCACCATCATCAACACATCATCATCATCATCATCGTCATCATCAGCATCACCATCATCATCCTCATACTCATCATCATACTCATCAGCAACATCATCAACATCGTCGATAACAGCATCATCCGCGTCGTCCGCCCCACCCTCATCATCATCACCATCACCATGATACTAATCATAATCCTCATTAGCATCAACATCAGCATCATCGGCATCATCGCCCGCATCATCACCATCCTCATCAGTAACAGCAACACCATCGCCCGCAGCATCGTCATCATCACCAGCATCATCATCATCATCATCACCTCCAGCAGCAACAGCATAGTTATCGTCATCGTCATCGGCATCGTCATCAACATCGTCATCATCATGGTTATGATCATGATGGTAAGCAACACAATCATCATACTCGTCATCAGTATCATCATGTTCAGCATCATCACCATAATCAGCAGAATCATCATCAGCATCGTCATCACCGTCATCACTCTCAATGCCATCCTGATAATCCGCAATAGTAGCTCCATCAGCAGCAGCATCATCACTAGCAGCAGCATCATCAGCATTATCATCAGCATATTCGTGATCATGGTCATGATCATGAACATGATCACCTTTACCCTCATCATCATCATTATCATCATCATCATCATCATCATCATCATCATCACTATTATCAGCATGAGCATCGCTACCTCTGTCATCATCAGCAGCAGCATCATGGTCATGATCGGCATCATCATCAAGAGCAGTAACAACACCATCATCAACAACATTACCAACATAAGCAACAGTCTGACTGGGATTCGAACCCTCACCCCACCCCCACCAACATTATCATCATTATCATCATTGTCATGATCACAACCACCAACAGCATCAGCATCAGAATTAGCGTTATCACCATCACCATCATCATCGTCGTCATCATCAGCGTCACCATCATCATCATCAGCAGTAGCATCATCATCATCACCTTCTACCCCCTCCCTGGCTCTTACGGCCGAAGTCGACGACAACGACGAAGGCGGCGGCGACAATAGCGACAAGCTAAAGCGGCTGCGACGGCAACGGCCGCGGCAACGACAGGGATGCAACGCGAGGCCTCTGCCAGCGCAGCTCCTGCGTCGCCCAGCTCCGCCCAGTGACGAGCCCAGGCAGCCTTGAGGTCGGCCAGGGGTTCGGCTGTCGCCTGCAAAGGAAAGTGGTACTGGGGGGAGGACCCCTCGCGTCCCCCGCCCTCTCTCTCTCTCTCGAACCTCCCGTGATTACGCGTTTCCTCCTCCCCTTCGGCCTACTCCTCCTCCTCCTCTTCCTCCTCCTCCTCCTCCTCCTCCTCCATCCTCCCATCAGTCATCTCACGACTTCGGGCGCGGACAGGCCTCGCTCAGAACGAACCCCGCTGAGCAAGTTTAGAATGCTAGCCATCGCGGACCCCAGTGTCCGTCTGCACTAGATGCTGTGCAAGGTCTGGGTGGTGAATTCTGAGCTGTACAATCGACGGTGCCGAACATATGTGGAACACTCCGCGTGGTGCAATATATGTGGGGCAAGATATGGTGCGCAATCGATGCTGTGCAATCTGTGCTGTGCAATATACGTGGTGCATTCTATCAAGGGCAAAATATGTGGTGCGACGCACTGGTGTCCTCAGTGAGTTGTAAAGTCCGCTGCTCGCGCGTTCATACCACCCACCCACCCGCACCTCGGCTTGCAAGACCCAGGAGGCGGCGATTGCGATGACTGTTTGGAGCTGGCGGGCGCCTCGCTGAGGCCAAGCTAACGCGCGCAGGATCGCGCGCGCACCGGCAAGCCAGTCTGGTGCGACCGACGCGGCCGCAGTGGCGCTGACCGCTGGGGAATTTCCGGCGTGTCTCGCAGGCCGCGCTGGCACGCGGGCAATCAATGCGAGTCGGTGACTCGGGTGGGCGCAGTATCATGGCGACGACGACAATGACAGACACGATGATGATAGTAGCGATGCTAGTGACGATGGTCACGGTGACAACGGCAAGGCCAATGACGGCGCCGATGGTGATCACGCCGATGTCGATGATGGTGTATGCGCGTCGGTAATGAAAATGTTGGAAGGATCTCGACAGACACGCGCGGCCGATGGGTGCGTTTGGCCCGCATGGTATTGTTTGATAGGGATCATGCCCACCCCCCCAGCAAGCGCGCCAAGGCGTTCGAATGATTCGGCATGCGCGCACGAAAAAAAAACTTGGTCGCATGTAAAATAATGCTGCAACAACCTGAGGCTTTCGCTAGAGTCCGCAAGAGCGCGCGCGACCACTTTCGTTTTGTCAGGGGGGCGTAAGACCCGGGTACAGGGGACTCGGAAATCCCCGACGAGGTCGTCAAAAAAATGACGAGGCCGAGCCTGCATTTTGACGAGGCCTCCCGCTGCAGACATCCCACGAAACTCCTACTCGTCAAAATCCGAGTCGCGGTCGTCAAAAAACGATGGCGAACCCGAGTCCTGGCAAACCCGGGTCTTACGCTCCCCCGATGTTGGAACGTCCGATTGTAAAACACTTGGATACTTATGTGTTCGGGAAGCTCGATCTTGAAACCCCTGCGAAGCCTTGAAGGACGTCTGCGCACGCGCGCGACGACGCGCGCGTGTCATGCAGAAGACCTGTCGTCGGTTGGATTGCGATCGATTGGGTTGCAATCGATCCGATCGCAATCGGTTGGATTGCAACTGATTGGGTTACAATCGATGGGATTACGGGACGGCAGCGACGGGGCGGGCCGCCAACGGGCGGCGACGAGGCGGCGACGGGGCGGCAACGGCGACGACATAGCCGCCAGACGGAGGACAGACCGACGGTCAGGCCCAGACGACTGGAGGCGGCGAGGGGGCGACGGCGACAACGTAGCCGCCAGACCAGCGGTCAGGCCCACGCGACGGGCGGCGACCAGGCGGCGACGGGGTTGCGACGGCGACGACGTTGCCGCCGGGCCGGCGGCCAGGTCCAGTGCTTTGCTGGTAGGTGGGGCCTGTCCTGCTACAGGGGGATTTTGGGCGTGAAAAGGACAAATACTCAAAAAAAAAAATATTCCCACATGGTCAAAGAAACGCCCCAAAAATTGCCCCCAGACTATTTTTGACTATTTTTGAACATTCCTTCTGTAGAGGGACAAGCCCGACTTAACCTTGGCGTTGTCAAGGAGACAGTGCGACAAATGATGGGGGACCTTCCAATCTGTGAAGCCACCTCTTAGGCCGCGAGCGGCCTCCCGACCCCGCTCAGTCAAAATCTGCGGGCGGGGGGCGGGGGCGGGGGGGGGGAGGGGGGGGAAAGGGCGAGGCAAAGAGGGGGGGTCGATGTCTCCTCGGCAGCCACGCGATCGCAGTCGTTCCGCGGGCCCGGGCCCAGGCCGACGTCGGGCTCGCCTGGCCTCGCCCCTCGCCAGCTTGAGACAGCGCGGCATCGAGGTCGGAGGACAGCCGCAGCAGGACGCGCCCAGGAAGAGGGACGCCAAGTTCTCGACTGCGGCGGCGCACTCGCCAAAGTCGTCGATCGGGAAGCCAAAGAAGTCGCTCCACCACGGATGTGAGACGGCCTGTCTTCTCACCCATACCCGCCCCTTGACCCCGCCTCTCGAATTCACATCCCAACACGAACTAACGCGCGCTGACGCCGCCCTGCAGAATCATCATATCCACGCGTTCACTGCATGACAAAGTATGTACGCAATCGCTTCCCACGCGTGTCCTCGCGGCGATGCCTGAACATATTCCAGCGCCGACGCTACGCGGGCGCACGTAGCTTCTGCAGCGCCCAACATGTCCCACATCTCGACCCCATGGGGAGTTGCTCATAGAACCAGGCAAGAGCAAGCTGCCTGATAGCCACCCACGCTTCGCCTCAGGCGGCACGCCCCGCGCGCCTCGAACGACGCTGCTCAGCACATCCCGCGAAACATTTCGCCGAGCCGTCGGCGCGGCAGTCGCGAGTGTGAACCCGCCACAGCGCCTCGAAGAGATGTCGGTCCAGTACCTGTCGGGCTCGCTCCGCGCGGCAGGGGATGTGCCGCCCTGCCGGCATATCGACGATTTCCGCCGCGACTGAGCGAGGCCTTTGCGTCCACACAATAGTCGGCATCCGACAAGTGGTTCTCAGGATGAGGCGACTGCGGGCTCAGACCCCCTCGAGCCAGGACAAACATCATGACCGACACCTTTGCTCAAGTTTCGGTCTCCGGGGGCCCCCACTGGGCCTCGGGACCGTCGACAGGACGACGCAGCATGAGAGCCCCGGTCCTGGGGAAGGGGTCGAGACCTCTGGGGGTCGACTTGTGGGAAAATCATGTGCGCCTGCTGGGCGCCCAGCACCTCCGGCTCCGCGGCGGGAAGCTGCGCAGGGCAGGCCATCGGCCACAGTTGCTGAAGCTACTGCGAAGCTTGGATGTCCCGTCCCCCTGTCCCCTCTCTCGCGAGCTTCCCCTCCTCCTGCTCTGCCTCATCCTCCTTCTGCTCGCAGCGTCACCATCATCATCATCATCATCATCATCATCATCATCATCATCATCAGCATCATCATCATCATCATCATCATCATCATCATCATAACCAGCAGCAGCAGCATCGGCATCAGCATCATCATCAGCATCAACATCATCATCATCATCATCATCATCATCAGCATCATCATTATTCATATCATCAGAATCATCATCATCAGCATCATCCACATCATAATCATCATCAGTATCGTCATCATCAGACTCACCATCACCATCACCATCAGCATGATCAGCATGATCCACGTCCGCATGATCGTCATCATCATTATCATCACCACCATCATCGAAATTAGTATCAGCATCATCAGCAGCATCACCAGCATCAGCATCCAGATCATCATCATGATCGTCATCATCATGATTAGCATCATCCTGAGCATCCGGATCATCATGATCGTCCTGATCATCATCCTGGTCGTCATCATCATCATCATCATGATCATCATCATCATCATCACCATCATCATCATCATCATCATCATCATCATGATCATGATCATGATCATGATCATCATCATCATCATCATCATCATCATCATCATCAGCATCATCATCATCATCATCATCATCCTCGTCATCATCATACTCAGCATCACCATCATCCAAATCATACTCATCGTCATGAGCATCATCATGAGCAATCTCATCATCACCAGCATCATCATCATAATCATCATCAGCATCATCCACATCACAATCATCATCATCATCATCATCATCATCATCATCATCATCATCATCATCATCATTATCGTCATCATCATAATCACCATCACCATCACCATCAGCATGATCAGCATGATCCACGTCCGCATGATCGTCATCATCATTATCATCACCACCATCATCGAAATCAGTATCAGCATCCAAATCATCATCATGATCGTCATCATCATCATGATTATCATCATCCTGAGCATCCGGATCATCATGATCGTCCTGATCATCATCCTGGTCGTCATCATCATCATCATCATCATCATCATCATCATCATGATCATGATCATGATCATCATCTTCATCATCATCGTCATCATCATCATCATCATCAGCATCATCATCAAAATTACCATCATTGGCATCGTCCTCCACCTCCTCCTCCACCTCCGTCTCCTCCTCCTCTTCCTCCTCCTCCCATTGCTCCTGCCTCCTCCTCCTCCTCCTCCTCCTTCTCCTCCCCCATCCTCCTCCTCCTCCTCCTCCTCCTCCTCCTCCTCCTCCTCCTCCTCCTCCTCCTCTTCCTCCTCCTCCCCCTCCTGATCCTCATCCTCCTCCTCCTCCTCCTCCTCCTCCGCAGCCTCCCCCTCCCCCTCCGCCTCCCTCTCCTCCCTTTCACCCTTCCATCTCCGCCTCCCTCTCCTCCTCCTCCTGCTGCTCCTCCTCCTCCTGCTCCTCCTCCTCCGCTGCCGCCGCCACCAGTGCTGTCTCTCTCTCTCTCTCTCTTTCTCTCTCTAGCTCTCTCTCCGCCCCCCTCTCTCTCTCTCTCTCTCTCTCTCTCTCTCTCTCTCCCCCCCCCCAGCCCTCCCTGGCCAAGGCTTGCCTGTCGCAGATGGTTAACCCCAATTGTCCGCCCAGCGGGGGCGAGGCAAAGCGGGGGCGAGGCAATATGAGTGGCCTCGGCAAAAACATAAGTGGAAATAAAAAAGAAGGGAGAGGAGGCCCCCTCCTCCTCCACCTTCTCCTCCTCCTCCCCGCCCTTCCTCATCTTCCTTCCCCCTCCCCCATCCATGCTCCTCCGATGGCGGCGACGACAGCGTCGATAACGGTATAGACCGCAGAAATCCGATGTCTTGATTTTGTTCAATACGGGGTCCCTGAAGTCCCGACCTTGACCTGGGGCCAGCTTTACATCCTGAGTCGTTTTCTGTTGACGGTCATGGGGCCCAGCGAAAGCCCCCAACGGCCGCAAACGGTAACGAAACATCCGTCTTGTTTTTTTTAATCTGGGACGACGGCACCGACATCGGCGGCGGCCACGGCGACGACGACGCCGGCGGCAGCGACGACGGCTTTCCGCCCGATTGGTCGCCGCGCAGCCCGCGTCAGCCTCCGCCTCCTTAATGAGGGCCTCGACCTCGAACCGCCTTCGGGCGGGGAGCCCGTGCCGAGCGCCAGGACGGGGGAGGTAAGAAAGGCCCCAATGCGCCCAGACATCAGACGATACGGTGTTCCAATCCCTGACAACCGATACGGTCAATTGATACGGGAAGGGGTCGGGAACTCTGGGGCGGAGACTTGGAAAACAGCATCGGAAAATGTCATGGATTCCCTCCTCCTTACAACTCTCCTCCTTCTCATCATCATCCGCCTCCTCCTTCCCTATTCGGCAGGGGGGCCGTGCTCACGCGGACGGACTGGCCAATCAAGCAGTGAAAATCTGACGGCGGGCTTGAGACCAGCCAGCAACTTGTGCGCAAGAATCCCGCCAGCCCTCTGGGCCGAGGTTGTCAAGCACACTTCTTCTGCTTCTTCTTCTTCCAACGTCCCAAGATGGCCCCATACAGTGCCAAATATCGACCCCAAAGCGCTCCAGGAGGGTTCCAAGAGGTGACTCCTCAGGACCCAGGGGGGGCAAGAATATGAGGTGAACCTCTATTGTTGATCGATGTTCTCGAGCATGGCCACAAGAGAGCCCCCAAGGCCCTCAATAGAGACCCAAGGACCTCCAAAATGACCCCAATGAGAGCCACAAGATGACCTTTGCAAGCTGCCAAGAGGCTGCAATATCGAAATTTCCACCAACGTATATATGATTGACTCTTGGGCCTGCTCAGGCTGATCCCGATCTTCGGTTTGACGGCTGCACCCACTCTTTGTCTCAGCGTTTGTGCCCACAATCCCGTCTTCAAGGCAACTCGCATGAGCATCGTTTCTGGATGAGCATCGCGTCGATTCGCTCGCATGGAGCAACGGTGCAGAACCAACCTCATATCCTGTTCAGACCTGTTCGGAGATGAGCGCCCTCAAAACCGCATGATGGTGCGACGGACGATGGTGATGTTGATGTGATGGATGATGGTGGTGATGACATGGATGGTGGTGCTGATGACGCATGATGATGGGGATGAGACTTGGTAATGAGGTTTGGGCGGCCCACTGGCGATGATGACTGTGATATGGATGATGGTGGTGGTGAGATTGGTATTGTTGATTGTGTGGAACATGATAGGGATGACGAAGTGGACGATGGTAATGGTGATGGATGGTGATGATGACCAGGCGCAGCAGATGCACAAAGCATACGAGAGCGTTTCTCTATGTTCGGCGATGACGGGCGTCATGGGGGGGAGGGCCCGGGGGGGGGGGTATGACGTAACGCCCCCCCCCCCCCCCCCGGCCGTGTGGCTCTGGCACCACAGCCGCGCCCGCGCGCACGACGCGACGAGCGACAAGCGACGACGACGACGACGCGAGCAGCATGTACGTGGCGATCTGCCCCCCTGCGCCTGTGTACACCACAACGCTCGCGTGCACCACAACGCGCGTGCACACCACAGCGCCTGCGTACATCGCAACAACCGTGTGCAACGCAGCGCCTGTGTACACTGCAGTGCTTGCGTACAATACAGCGCTGGTGTACATGTACACACCGGAGGCAACCATGTGCAACACAGCGCCTGTGTACATCACAATGCTTGCGTGCACCGCGGCGCCTGTGCACGCCACAGCGACTGTCTACACCACAGCATCCGCGTGCAACGCAGCGCTATTGTACACCACAGTGCCTGCGTGCAGAGGACAGGTAGAAGGAGACTGTACGTGAGGATCTGCTGCGGAAGCGCCACGCCAGGAAAGTGCGGATAATCGAATGCCACGTTTTTCCCTCTTCCCTTCACCTCCACTTCCACCTCCTCCTCATCCTCCTTTTTCTCTTCCTCCTCCTCCTCCTCCTCCTTTTCCTCCTCCTCCTCTTCCTCCTCCTCCTCCTCCTCCTCCTCCTCCTCCTCCTTACCACCTGTCGTGCGGGTTAGCGCTACAGCGCACGTGCGCAACTCAGCGTGCACCGCAGAATGGTTTATTGAATCGGCCACTTGGTTCTCGGACGGCCAATTCAGCTGGAGCCTCCTGGACGCAGATGGACGGAGTTACGGTGATGCGGGCGAACTCGGAAGGACTCGTAGATTCCCCTGGCGCTCCCTTGTCCATACGGATTATGCTCTGGTGTTTTCGGTGGAATCCACAAACGTTCCATTTTGTCATAATGGTTCCTTCGAACATTCGACATACAACAGTGGTGTTGTGTTGCACACGGTTGCTGTGGTCCACACAAGCGCCGTGGTGCACACAGGCACTGCAATGCACGCAGGCATTGTGGTGTACACGGCTGTGTTGCACACGGCTGATGCGGTGTACATAGGCGCTGTGGTGTACACAAGAGTTGTTGTGCCCGCACGCGCGGAGGCACACACTGACGCTGTGTTGCACGCGGCTGCTGTGGTGTAAATAGGCGGTGTGGTGTACGCAGGCGCTGTGGTGCACGCAGGCACTGAGGTGTACACAAGCGTTGTGGTGCAGATCGCCACCTACATGCTGGTGCCACCCGTCCTCCGTCATTCCTAAGCATTCGCAGGCGTCGCTAGCGCGAAGCGTGACGTCATCGATCCCCTCCCCCCCCCCCCCCCCAAATGATTGCCGTCATCAGCCCGGAACAAAAAAAGGCTCCGGACGGGTCCGCGCGCACGATGACGATGAGCGACGACCGACGAGCCACGAGCCACGAGCCACGAGCGACGACGACGACAACGACGACGTCGACGACGACGACGACGGCGGACCAGACTCCTATGCGGATTCTTGCGCGGACACCTACGCGGATCCCAATACGCACGGTGGCAGTGCCCAGAGCGCACTGGGGGGGGGAGCGTTACGTCATAGGGGGGGGAGGGGGGGCGGGGACCATGACGCCAGTAATGCCCCAAGCAATAAAGAAATGGTCTCTACCGACGAGGCACACCAGGCACACCGACCAGGCACACCATGCACACCGACCAGGCGCACAAGAAACACCAGGCACACCAACCAGACATACCAGGCACGCCGACCAGGCGCAGCAGGCACCCCGACCAGGCACACCAGGCACACCGACCAGGCGCAGTACGCACACAGATCAGGCACACTAAGCACACCAGGCACACCACGCCAAGCGCGCCGACCAGGCACGCCAGGCTCACCAGGCACACCTAGGCACACCGACCCAGCACACCAGGCACACCGACCGGGCACATCAGGCACGCCGCCCAAGCACACCAAGCACATCGACAGGGCACACCGACAGGGCACACCGACAGGGCACACCGGGCACACCGACCATACACTCCATGCACACCAGGCGCACCGACGCAACACACCAGGCACGCAGACCATTCACACCAGGCGCACCAAACCTACATGCCCAGCGCACCATGCATTTGTTCGACTGCCACTTGAATGAAACATTCGCTGCCACGTGGCTGAAAGCTTCCGCTAGAACAAAAACAGCGATGCATGGTGGTAGCGATGGCTCGGTGGTAAGGATGCCGAGGATGAGGGGCGCAATGCAGAAAGAGAGAGAGAGAGAGAGTGAGAGGGAGAGAAAGAAACAGGGAAGGGGGGGGGGCTCGCTGAACGCGATACGTCGTGCGGAGTACCTTTTCGTCTCCGCAGCAAGGGGGTCGCGCAAGGCATCGCTGGCGCTCATGGCCCATGTAACGGCACATGCGACGGGGACCCACCATCGCAATGTTGTAGCCTGCCGCGGGAAGTGACGGACCGAACTGGCAGCGATCGCCAAATCCAGCGCGGGCTGGGCCGAGGCGAGGTAGCCCTGGAATGTAGCGCATGCGCAACACGGCGCAGGAACTGGCGACCGCACGTGGCCACTGCGAACTGAGGAACAGCGACTCCTAAAAGAGCCTCACAGCATGGCACCCCTAAATTTGCGAGGCCCAGCGCAAAGTTCACCTGGACTGAGAAGACACAGCCGGGATAGGCGCGCAAGGACCGCCGCGCATTCGCAACAGTGGCCAGCCTTGTGAGGGCCTGCGCCCTCCTCCTCTATCCCCCTCCCCCTCTTCCTCCAAACTCCTGCTCCTCCCCTCTCCCCCTCGTGTTCCTCTGACTTGTCCACATTCGTCTTCTCATGACTGACGGAACTTCATGTTTGTAGAATCTCTTCGGCAGTGCCAGATCGCTTTACAATGACACGCGTGCAGATACTGCCGTCCACGTCTGCGGCAGTCCGCGGGGCGCCACCAGTCCGGCGACGAGATGCTCGACGTGCCCGCCGGCCGGGCCGATCCGGTCTGGTCCTCCTCGTCCCTCCGAGAGCGTACACGGACTCGACCCTCGAACCTGAGGTAATCTGATTGCGCGCGCTGCGCCCCGCGATGCGCGACGCGCAGTTATCTTCTGCGAGGCGGGGCGGTATACACACACATATGTGTACATATGTACATACAGATACGTTACGCAACTACAAACCATAACACCATACCTGGGCGCATGCCTGAAGTGGGTTTCTAGATTGTTGTTGTGTGTTGTTGATTTCTTTGTCGCTTGATTGCTGCTTTTGTTTGTGGTTGATATCGTCATCCTCGCCCGCGACCCACCCGCGACCCGACCACAACCTACCCGCGACTCACCCGCGACGCACCCACGTTGCGTTGACGAGAAAAACCGGCGCCTGCACCGGGCTTGCCGTGCAATGTGTGAAAACCGTCGAGGCGCAGACTGCCGACGACCCCGCCGCCCCCTTACTCTTATCCGCAACTGCGGGGGCTGTGGTACAACACCTGCCTGTGGGATCTATCTTCGAGGCCCACGGCAGGCGGAGGAGATGTATATATTTAGCCCCCCATAGGGCCCGAATCCCGGCCTCGATCTTCGCGCCCCTGTGGGTGACCTGGGAGCCGGACCGAATCCTTGAATCCTTCGAATCTCGACACCAGGACCCGATCCTCGAATTAGAGGCCCCACACAGTGGGTCCGCGCAGACGGGTTCGGAGGATCTCGCCGCATCGCCGAGGCATCGCGAGATTTCTGGCGATGTCGGCGGTGCATCGGCGACTTCGCCGCTGGGTCTGCCAATTTCCAGCGGGGGGGGGTGCTCCAGAACATCGTGCAAACACAATGAAACCCAGACACCCCCAACCCACAATTGTGGGGGGCCTGGGAACGTTCGAATTGGCTGGAGTGCTTCGGTCAGTAATGAACCTGGGAGGCCTGGGCGAAGAGACCGTCTTTCAACGCTTCGCGAGTATGGCCGTCATCGGCCCGAGCCGCCCCCCCTCCCCTGGGTAATGTCACGGCTCATGCTGACGTCCGACCTGCCTTTCGTTCTTCCTGTGCATTCCCAGACGGCGCCAGCGCGAAACGTGCCATTACCTGTCCCATCCGTCCCCCTTCCATCCGTCCCCCCCCCCCGTGACGCACACCATTTTGGAAACCAAAAAGGTACTGATACCGCTACTACCCCGACCTCGCCTCCAGGGGGTGCGCTCTGACCAGGATTTCGAGGCGCATCCAGCCGTGGCAAGGGAGGGCCTCTCAGAAGGGCCCCAACAAGGGGAACACGGGGCGAGGGGTAGCAGTATAGGTGCCTTCCCTCCTCTGACGGCATTAGAGGAAGAAGATAAATATAAACTTTTGAAGGTCCGCCCGGATTTCTTGGATCTGAGCTGGGCCTCCCAAAGCGCGCCAGGGGAGACGGCGGAGGCGCCGCCAGAGGGGTCCCAGCGCGGATCCAAGAAATCTGCGCGGAGCGCCAAAAGGTTATGTTCATGGCGTTTCTCTTTATCGAGCTATCGCCCCAGACGCAAACAAAACACGCCCTCGAATCTCTCGACCCTCGAGCCTCGACCCTCGCACCCCTCGCAAGGGGGATGGGTTGAGCAGGGACCGAACGGCCCGGCATTCCTAGTCCTACCAATGGCCGCAGAACCCAAACATGTTAGAATAACAAAACACCGTGCTGAAAACATCAACCCGATGCGTTGAGACAAGACAGCCTCAGCCAGACATGCTCTGAGAACATCCCATGCAGACCTCAAAAGGCTCGTAGCACATTCCCTGGTGGGCCTCTAGGCGAGCCAGGACGCTTCGTCACTGCTCGACGGGGCGGCGGCAGCCCGGCGGCGGCGGAGGAGGAGGAGGAGGAGGAGGAGGAGGGCGAGTGGCGGCGGCGGCCCCGGGGGCGGCGAGAGGCCTCTGCAGCTCCACGCCGCCGAGCCCGGCGCGCGCCGCCCACGCGTCGCGGAGCGCTGCGAGCGCGGCCTGCCGCCGGGGCGGGCGTCGGGAGCCGCCGGGGGCCGCTGGGGCGTGGCGAGCGGCGGACATTTAGAGGCCTCCTCGCCCTCGCCCCCCCTCGTGGCCCCTCGTCCTCCGCCTCGGCCAATCCCTCCTCGCCCACCTCCTCCTTCTCGCCCTCCCCTCCTCGCCCCCCCCCCCCTCCTCGCCCTCCCCACCTCCTACTCTCCCTCCCACCCTCCTCGCCCCCCTCTCCTCCTACTCGCCCTCCCCCCCCATCGTCGCCCTTCTCATCCTAGCTGCGAACAGTACAGTCGGCCCGTATCACAAGGATGCGCGATATGGATGCAAAAGGCCTTGGACGCCCATTTCGAAGCTTTTCGAGCGGCGCGCGGCCAACGAAAGTGGCCAAGGATGGACCGAGGAAGCAAGGATGCAAGGGCACCCTTGGCAAAATTGCTCGTCCTTGCTATGCGGGCTGACTGTAGAGGCCTCCTAGATGAGGCCCGAGTAGACGGGGTCTGAGGACCACGACAAATCGCCGAAGCATCGGCGATGCTTCGACGATGCATCGGCGATGCATCGACGATGCATCGGTGGTGCATCGGCGACGGCGGCATGGAGAACATCGGGCCCCGCATCGGGCTGCATCGCCGATGCATCGGCGATGTGGCGCGATCCTCCGACCCCATCTACTCCGACCCCATCTAGGAGGCCTGCGAACATCCAGCCGAGAGTACGATCAGGACAACTATGGTCTAGAGCATCTGGGCCAGCTTCCCGAAAATTTCCTAAAACGCTGGCCGAGCTTCTCGGGCGGCGGTCTCTTAATCAGATGCTCGGGCATCCGCGAAACAAAAACGTGTCCGTGGGGTCGCGGCCCCGAGGTCTGGCCCGCGAGTCTGCGGATGCGGATATGTTTTTCGCCGGCGAGGGCGTCGACGTCGCGGTTCGGACGTTGCGGAAGCTCTGCTTTGGGACCTTCCCGCAGGGGGGGGCCGAGGTTCCGTTCGGGGGACGCACACCAGGACGGGTCCGGGGGTCGTTCTCCTCGTCGCAGTCGTCGTCGTCGTCGTCGTCGTCGTCGTCGTCGTCGTCGTCGTCGTCGTCGTCGTCGTCGTCGTCGTCGTCGCCGTCGTCGTCGTCGTCGTCGTCGTCGTCGTCGTCGTCGTCGTCGTCGTTGTCGTGATCGTCGTCGTGTTGTGGTCGTGGTCGCGATCGTGATCGTCATCGTGACAGTGGTCGTGGTCGTGGTGGTCGTCGCCGTCGTCGTCGCCCTAGAGGTCTCCAGTGCAGTCAAGTAGCCTCCTAGCCCCCAGGGAAGGAGGAGGAGGAAAAGGAGGAGAAGGAGAAGGGGGAGGACAGGACAAAACAGGACGTGCGTTCGGAGGGCGGTTGGTCCAATGGACAGAGCCTCGCGCCATCTGCGGGATCATAAGAAAACAGGCGAAGGAGGAGAGAGAAGAGAAAGAGGGAGGAGAAAGGATGGTATGTAGGTACGGCGGACAGCGGCCTGAAGCCGAGTTCGGGCATGTCTAGCCAAAACTCATTTCCGAGTCGGAGGCGTTGCCGCACCCGGTCTCGGCTTCCTTCGCGTCTATCGCGCCGAAGAGGATGAGGACAGGGCAAGAGGAGGGAGGAGTACGGAGGGAAGGGGAGGGGGATGGAGGAAAGAGGAGGGGGGAGCAAAAACAAATACCGATACCGCTGCTCCCCGGACCTCTGCCGCGGTGCGTTCTGACCATGACTTCGAAGCGAATACAGCCGTGGCGACGAGGGCGATCCCGGAGGCCCAAGGAAGCGAAAACGAAGAGAGGGCAGCGGTATCGGCACCTTTTTCCCACCGCTGCTGGGGTGGACAGAGGAGCGGTCCCCAGACGGACCCCCCCCTGGTGGCTGCACGGGGGTTGCCCGTCGACGCCGTCACCGTCGTCGCCCGCGCGCCGCGTGTCGGCGGGAGTGCAGAAGGACTCGCGCGGCCTCCAGCGCGGCGCGGGTGGGCAGGTCGGCCTGGGACGCGCCGACCTCCAGGAGCTCAAGCCTTCTGGGGGAAGGGGGACGGGAGGAGAAGCAGGAGGGGGAGGGGGAGCAGGAGCAGGGGGAGGAGGATGCTGAGGAGCATCGGTACCGCTGGGGACGGACTTCAGACGCGACTCCGCGGACTTCAGCCTCCGCGCAGGAGCCAGCTCAGGAGATACAGTTCTGCGTGTCAAAGCCTTCGTGCTCGCGGTCAAATGTGTTCTGGATGTGAAGGCCTTCGCTCACGCGGTAAGAGGTGATCTGGTTGGTAGGGCCTTCGTTCACGTGGTCGAAGGTGCTCAAGATAAGGATGCCATCGTTTCCGCGGCCGAGGGTATTCTGGATAGGGATAACGCCGCTCACGCGGTCGAAAGGAGTTCAGGCTGGTGATGTCCTCGCTCAAGCGGTCGCAGGCGCCCTGGAAGTTCATGAAGACGACGATGGGGGCAACGTCCCCGCAAATATCAGCGTCCCGCTGGATAATCACCATGCCAGGCTGGCTGTCAGGGTGTTCTGCTCGGCGGGCGGCGACGCACTGGCAAGAACAGTGGTGCCATCAGACAGCCTGTCAAGTGCTGCAGCACGAGCATCATAACATCGATTGTATGAGTAATTATTCCTGGTGTCACTCTTGATCTCCAGGCAGCAAAAGTAAGGGAACATGAGCCGTCGGAGGGTCGTCAGCAACGAGTATTAGCCAGCCTCATCGTAGGATACACCGAGCCCCAGACGCGCCACCAAAGACACCTGCGAAATGGTCCGAGGGGGCACACAAGGTGCTGCAGCCGTGCGCATTGCAAGTAGTGGCCTATGGTGTCGGACTGCTGGTCGCAGACAAGAACACAATCATTATTGTCGAGGTGTACGTGCATGCGCGCCGAAGTGTGCCACCCTTCAGACAGCGTGCGCACAGTTATCCGGCTTCAAGAAGGCGCGATCTTCCTAAGCAGGCCACGGAGCTTTGTCCACCGCTCTGGTAAGTCACGTCTTATGAATCGACCCAGGTCGTCAGGCGCTTGGCGATGGTCTTGAAGAAAGTGCCCTTCATCCAGGCCTTGCCCGATGTGTTGATGAAGTGCCGTTGTGGTCTCGCCTTGCGAACATCAGCGAAAGCATCTCGCACCATGCGCTTGGTAATGACATCTGCGTGAAAGGGATCACGATGACGATGCCGAGGGACAAACGCGATTTGGCCACGAGCGATCATGGCGAGCATATGCGCACGCCAGAACGCAGGAGACCACCGATGTGCAGCTAGGTCCACGAGGCCACGAGCTTGGCCTGCGAGGTCATGGGCTTGCTGGTGTAAGTTCCACCATTTTGTCAGGGTGTAATTGGCTGTCGATCATAATAGAGTGCCCAAGCCGTAGGTGATGAGCGCCCGCAGCGCTGGGATCGGCATCCATTGCGCGAAGGAGTGGATGCCGGTAGGACGAAAGTTGCTTGGCAGCATTCTGAGGACCTTGTGGAGAGCGTGAATCTCTTTCCTGCGCAGCACCTTGGGGATATCGAAGAACTGGGCGAGATATCCGAGGACCGTGATGACCGAGGTCTGGTACAGACGCACGTTGGAGTCAATCGGTGCTGACGTCTGCCCAAGCGCGACAATCCTTTGCCACCACGTTGCGGCCGCAGCTCACCATTGGAGGTCATCATTCGCATTGGGTCGCACATGCACCCCAAATAGAGGCCTTCACCTGCAATCTTGAAGGGGGCCCAGTCGGGTATGCTCAGCTTGAGGTAATAAGGAGGTGGCAGAGGAGGAGGAGGAGGAGGAGGAAGTGGGGGAGGAAAACGTCGGAGGTCGTCGTCGTCGGTCGGTCGGCCGGTACTCGCCATTTGATGCGCTTTGTTGCCAGCATGCCAACAGAAGTGAAATTGGCTTGCGCAGGCATGGCTACTCTGGCGTTGCCCGCGCGTTGTCAGGCATTAAGGAGGGGTGCCCCCAAGAACTGCCCGATGGGGGACACCGGGGCAAGCAACCAGGGACGGAATGCCACGTACACGCGGCAGCTGCACGTGCAACCACGGCAAACCTACAAGTGGGGGGGGGCGAAGCGCACCGGGGCGGTCAGAAGGAAGGACCGAAGCGGCCCCCTCGTCGCCTGCACCGAAGAAGAAGCGTCGGAACAGCCACGGACTTGCGGAGCTCCGCGCGGATCCCTTGGATCTGCGCTGGCAGCGCCAGGTCGGGCATGTCCCCCAACAGGCGAAACTTGGGCGAAGAATTCAAAGCACCCCAAAAATATACAAACAAAACAAAACAAAATACAAGAAATCGTCCCCATGCGATGCTTTACTATTCTGGAATCTCTCTTCTAAAAGGACATGCCCGCCTTAATGGTAGCGCTGGTTCCCCTTCCCTTCCGCGCGGAGCGCGCCGGGGACGGCGCCGGAGGCGCCGCCAGGGGGGTCCAGCGCCGATCCAAGAAGTTCGCGCGGGCCTTCGAGACTCCATGTCTGTGCAGATGGTTCTTCTTCTCTTGCAGCCTGGGGCCAGCCCTGGCTGTGCCCAGGCCATCCTACAGCCCTCGCGCTGCCAGAAGGACCCGCCGCACACACAGGGGAGGGGCCTTCCTGGCCGCGGCGAGCCTCGGCCACGAATGGGCCCCCTGGCCCGGGTCCCGGGAGCTGGCCCCCGAAACACGAGCCCCTCCCGAGCCGACAGTGTTCCTGCCTTCAGCGTCCCTCGGCTACAGGCAAGAGTTGTGGATGCCATGACAATGGACACCCTAACAATCCTATCATTGAATTAAAGATGTGTTTAACATGTGTAAACCATGTTCTGGAAATGTTTCAAACATATGTTTACAATATAACAAATGTTTGTAACATGTCTTAGACATCTGAGAATTATTTGGCAGCATGCTTCCTCTCCATTAACCGACTTCCACAAGGCAAGAGTGACCCTGTGTATGAGTGACCACTAGTGCGCGGCTCTTGGGGTGCCGCGGGGGGGGACCGAACGCAAGCGCGCAAGACGCTGCTATCGCATCGCGTTCGACGGTCGGGGGGGCCCTAGGCCCCAATGGGCCCGCACCAAAGCTCACTCTGGCGAAGGGTCACTCTCACGTGCGGTCGAGTCCTGAGTGCGGCGCGCCCTGCCTGGGCGGCGCTCGGCCGCCGCGCGGGGGGGCCCGGTCGTCGGGGGCGGTCGCCTCCCCCGGCACGCTCAAGTGCAGAGGAGGGAGGGGTCCGGCTGGCTCGCCTCGGCCAGGAGGACGAGCTGCGGTCGGGGGCTTTTGCTCCGCGTGCCGCGGCGGCGGCCCTGGCGACACGCTTCTACATCCTGCGAGCTGGTGGCGTGCCGCTCCGCTCCGCGGGCAGGGAGGCCGGGAAAGAGGCTCGGGAAAGCTGACGCTCGGGGAGACCGGAAATGGTTGGCACGTCGCGCCGAAGCGTGGTGGGCCAGAACCAGCGGCGCGACACGCTGAGCCAAAGTTTCTGACCGCAGGTCGCTAAACTTCGCGCAACGAGCCCCCGCAAGTGCGACGCGCAATTACCTTCAGGTCGGGCATGTCCTCCAACAAATATCCAAAGGTACCGGAAAATCATCGGAAAAACGCTACCCGACTACAATCCCACCAGCCCTCTGGGCGTAGGTGGTTTAGGGAGTTTCCTCTTCCAACCCCCTTTATTCCCCTTCGGGGAGGGGTTTACCCCTCCCCCTAACCCCCTCCCCTGGACCTGGACGGGAGGTTTCGCTGGTAGTTGGAGCGTCCAAGATGGCCCAAGATGACTCCAAGAGCGCCTCGGGGAGCCCAAGACGAGCTCCAAGATTGCTCAAGCTAGCCTCCGATGCCTCAAGATGGCTCCGAAGATGCTCCAATAGGCCCGAAGACCGCCCCAAGACGGCTCCAAGAGGCCAACTAGCTTTCCCAGGAGGCCTCCAAGAGGCCAAAATCCTTAAAAAAAAAAAACCTAAGGGAGATCAATGTTTTTTGCTTTCTCGCCTTTTCGCTTCCGATGGCCATTCGAGGCCTCAAGATGGCTCCAAGATGGCCCAAGAGGGCCCCAAGAGGGGCCCAAGATGGCCCCAAGACGGCCCCAAGAGCGCCCAAGAGCGCCCCAAGAGCGCTCCAAGAAGGGCCCAAGAGGCGATTTTAGGCGCTCTAGAGGGGCAGGGCGAATCCGGACCCTCCCTTTCTTTGATCGATCTCCTCCAAGATGGCCCCAAGAGCGCTCCCAAGGCCCCCAAGAGCGCCCCAAGAGGGCCCCAAGAGGCGCCCAGGAGGCCCCAAGAGGCCCCCAAGAGGCCCCCAAGAGGCTCCCAAGAGACCCCCAAGAGGCCTCAAGAGGCTCCCCGAGGCACCCAAGACGCTTCAAGAGGCCTCCGGGACCGCCAAGACGCTCCCGAGACGCCCTAAGAGGCCTTCAGGACGCTCCCAAGAGACATCCGAAGAGACTCCGAGAGGCATCCAAGAAGCCTCTGGCCATTTTGCTCGCCCTTCTCCTCCTCCTGCTCCTCCTCCTCCTCCTCCTCCTCCTCATTCGCCTATTCCTCCTCCTCTCCCTCCTCCCTCCCTCCCGCTCCCCCTCCTCCTCCTTCAGTTCCTCCTCCTCCTCATCCTTCTCCGATTCCTCCTCCATCCTCGCCGTCTTCGGTAAGACGGGTTCCCCGGCCCTGTGTTACTCTGTATGCTCCCTCACTTCCCTGATCACTTCCATTCGCCTGGGCATCGTCTCTGGATGGGCTGGTGGGGATACGCGAAGCGTCTAGAATTTATTATTCTTGGCCTACGCCTCCTGTTGAGGGACATGCCCGACTTAAGACTGCCTTCGCGCCATCGCGCCAGCGGGCAGCCCCCTTGGAAAAGGGCAGGCGTCTGCCCTGGATCGCGGAGGCGCGAGGGGGGCGACCAGCGTGCCCCCGCGGGTGACCCCAAGGAGGGATGGAGAGGAGGGAGGGCGCCCACAACCGTGAAGAGTACAACCGCATTCTCATGCGACACATACAGAAAAAATCGAGTGGGAGCGTCCGCGCTAGGGGAAGAGGGGGTCCTCGAAAACGGAGGGAGGGAGGAGGGTGGAGCGTGAAGGAGGATTGGGGACTGAAGGGGCTTCTGGGGAGCGCTCGTCGGATCCGCCTCTCGGAGTCCTGGTCGGGACGTGCTCGGTGGCAGGGCTGGGGAGAGATCTTGAGGAGGACAGAGTACGGGGGAGGAGGATCGATTGATTGCGCCTTGATAAATGCGAGTTTAACTGTCAGCACTTGCAGACTTGCGGCTTCTAGCTGCAAGGTGATTCCATACTTGAGGGTCTGATCCAGGTCTTCGCAGGAAAAAGCCGAAGAGCGGGAGGAGGCAGCAGGATGAAGAGAAGAGGGCGGCAGCCAGGATGATGAGGAAGAGGGATGAAAACAAAGGGGAAGCAGCAGGGAGAGTGAGGAGGAGGAGGTGCATGAGGGGGGGATGCAGAAGAGGCCACCTCGCCCTCGTCCTCCTCGTTGTTTCTCTTCC